ATATAAAAATTTAACCCAAAATCACAAAGAACATTTACGATTTTTTTTTGGCGTTGGGGGTGGGCAATATCTGGCCTAGCTTACAGTATCGCAATATATTGTGATATATCATATATCATGATATAGATTAGAGCTGCCACAAATGATTATTTTTATAATTGATTAATCACAGATTATTTTTTTCGATTAGTCGACTAATCGGATCATACGTTAATTGAATATCAAACATAGCGCTTATCGTGCCAGAATGCAGCTGCTATTATATAACCATCGTTAGATTTTAGCTATATGCTAACTAAAAATAACTGCAGTGGAAGGCAAGTTCTGCTCTGCAGATATTGCACAGGTTTCTCTTTCATTTTCTTAAAATGATCCCACACTTTTGAGCTCTGTTGCTGGGTAGCCATGATACCAGAGCCTGTCTGTATAATGTCTTGTGACGTCCACGGCCTACCCCAGTTATCACTACTGTGCATGTTTGTCAAGGACAGAAAGGCAGATGTGGCAGTGGAAGGTGTCAAAGCAGTTTGGAGAGAAAAACAAAGTAAAGAACAACAACAACAAAAAAGAAAACGATTAATCGATTATTAAATTAGTCATCGATTATTTTAATAATTGATTAGTCGTCGATTAATCGACTAATCGTGGCAGCCCTAATATGGATCATATCACTAAATCCTTAAAAACAAAGCCGGCTCTGCAGTTTTTTCTCTTTTGCTGGCCTTGTGAGGATACATGGGTGGGCAAACTTCGTCCTCGAGAGCCACTATCCTGCATGATTCCTCGTTTCTCTGCTCCACACACCTGATTAGAATGAATAATCAGCTTCATGATGAGATGATTCAGCCACTGAATCAGGCGTGTTGAAGCAGAGAAACAAAATAAAACATGCAGGATAAAAACTCTCCAGGACCAGTCCTGATATAGCATCATACTATTATATGAAAACAGAGAGCGGGGACAAACCGGACCATCTGTTCGTCCCCTCAATGGCTCAGCATACTTGAGCCATTAATACAAATTAAATGTTTAATTAAAATATTAAACATAAATACGAATGTCAGCTTTTGTAACAGAACAAATACAACAAATTAGGCAATTAGATGACTTCTTATAAAAACCCTAAATGGGTTTAAGTTAAGCTAAAACATGAGGCTACAGATGATAAGTTGGAGCAGATTAGGAGAGCCAAACTTCCCATCACTATCAGTGACAGACGAGTTAACGAGAGGCAGACAGAAGGGGGAAAGCAGACTGAAGCCTCAAGTTCAAGAAGATAGAAAAGCAGCTTTGTTACTTTAGCTAATCAGATCATGAAGGAGATCCCATTCCAGCAAAACCCAAAGTTTTCCTCCAAGAATGTTTTAGTGAAGTCTAAATGTTTACACGTTTCACAGAAATGGTGACGCAAACATTTGAGCGAAATAGTCCAGAGAAACGATCCAACCCCACCAGACGTGACGGACGAACGAGCGCGGAGGATCACCACCTGCAGATAAATCGTTACATCTTCTTTTTGAAGACACTTGAAATCAACCGGAGAGCGAGGAGAACGCCCGCCCAACGAGCGCCCTGCCGTCAGGTTTTCAGCAGATCAGCGGCGAAGCGATGACACGAGTTCTTAGCTCGACTCTGAAGCCCCTGGCAGGGAGCCAGAGCTGCGACGTCGACCTCTGCTTTCCAACGCGTCTGTCCTCTTCTTTCAGTCGAGTTTGATTTTCACTCCTCCCTGGATGAGGATTCATTGATTTACACTCGTCACCCCTTTTCACCTGAACAAGAAAGTGCATGTGAGCTGACGGGACGGAGAGAGAGATGTTGCTGCACCGATGAGAAGTATTGATCTGACCTCTTGGCCTGCCCGGCTTTAGGAGCAGCAGCATCGTTCACACTTCACAACAATGTTTCCACTAATCAAACGCTAAGACTAAGCCACTGATGATCCCAGTGTTTCTAAAATAAGAGCTGAAATTCAGTAACTTACAATATGCCTCATCGTACTCTGCTTAAATCAGAACAGTTCTCGCAGCAATAACCTGCTTCAGCTTCAACAGCACAAGATGTTTCTGTCCATCTGTATCAAATGAAGAATAATTAAGACTTCCTGCAGTCAGGAGGCCAGAGCGAAACAAAGGAGGGCGGCCTGAGGAGGGAGGAGGAGCAGAGCGGGGGGAAGGAAGCTCAGTGTTTGAAAGAGGGGAGGCGGAGATCTAAAAAAAAAACCATCCTGAAAACACTTCAGCTGTGACTTCAAACATTTTATTCTCATTTTAATGCTTCGGATTAATTTTTACCCGTCAGAAAAGTCGATTTTGTCGTATTTACAGCACAACATAACTGACTCTAACTTTGTGCTTTTCTTTTTTACAGGACATTCAGCTGAAACGTTCAGGAAGCCACAGTTACTGACAGCCCAGACATCTGGCAATCACTGTCATTACGTAAATTTAATTAACCATTTAAAATCTAGTTTTGCTCTAAATGAACTCAGGGGCCAGCGGACTGAGCCCTGTGACAGATCATCCATGGAACAGGCTCACCTCTCTGACAGTTTGTTCTCACGCATACTTTTAAAAATCAAGTCTTGTTTTAAATAAACTCATCATTGGACCGGACTGAGCTGACCCACGGGTTGAATGTGGCCCCCGGGCCACCAATTGAATAACACGTGGACGCCATTTTGAACCAAACGTTTTGCTCCATGAGCTTTTGGGAGACTCTAGGATCTACTTCCTGTTTCTATAAAAGCCCAGGATATTAGTTAATAATTATACTAACAATTACCTTTATTATTGTTTAGTCTGGTCATTATATGTTTATTTTTAATTAGTCGCTTAATTTTTTTTGCAAATAATGAGTGGAAACAACAAGAAAGGATTAATTAGGTTATTTATTCTTAGGAGTTTGAGTCGTTATAGTTAGAGGACTCGTTTTATTAAAACAATATAAAACTTTTAAAAATATAGATCCTGAATAAATAGATCTAAATCCTTATCTGTGAGGAGCAGTAAGATGGAAAATATTTGGATTTCTGGTTGTGGTTCGGCCAAAAAAACGTTGCAAAAAAGGAAGCAGATGGGACGAGACTTTATGGCCTTTGCTTTCATAAAAGCATCACTGCCGTTCAGTAATATTGTTCCTTTTTTCCTCGGTTTGTCAAGATAAGAAAATGCAAACTGAAACACAAACTGCAGGCTCTCTGCAACATAAAATATATAAAAAAAATAAAACAAAAGACTGCTGGACCTCTCTGCAACACAAGGCACCGACCACCAGGAACAATGCTGCTGCTGTTGATGCCACACATATTTTCCGCCTGCAGTTTGGGAGAGAAAGAATCTGCTGCTCTGTGGCTGATGGACGTGCCACACAGCACACACACAAACACACACACACAACCAGACCAAACCCCACCCCTGAAGCCCCTCCATCCACCACGCTGAGCCTCATTCAAACCTGGACTTCATTACGGAGCGCAACGGAAATCATCACTGGCAATCAGGAGGAATTTACAAGACAATGTTCCAGACAGAAAAACACACAGAGAGGTTTTTTTTTTTTCTGTTTTACATCAGGCCAGACAGAGAAAGAGTCATCCCTTCTAAACATAAAAAAACAATAATTTAAAGATTTGTCTCATTTCATTTATGACATCATCATAAACATGATTTTTACGGAAAAAGAGCAAAGCTAAAACACATCTGTCATTTACTGTTTTTAAATATCTCCTCCTATCAGTCCTGATCTAAATAAATCTGTTTTATTATTTTTTTTTTTTTACCATTTTGGACATTTTTATACCTGCCGTCTGATTGATCCCAGGCAGATGTAACAGCATCTTTGTTTACGTCTGGTCTGGCTTCAGCAAAACTAAACGAGACGTGTGCCAGAAACGGGACGGCCCTCTGAAGAATAACGTACAGAACATTTACTGAAAAAAGACCAGCAGCTGGTAATAAATATTAACTCTAACTTAGAATGCATTCTTTTAAAATAATTCTAATCCTGTGTTTATTTTGATCTATGTTTATTTTTATTGTTACTATCTTTAATTATATTATTATTGCTACAGTTGGTAATGTCACATAGCAATATACAGTTTCTGTGGATTGATGTATGTATCTGCTGCTGCCACACCTGAATTTGGGACAATAAAGGCTGTTTCTATTCTATTCTATTCTATTCTATTCTATTCTATTCTATTCTATTCTATTCTATTCTATTCTATTCTATTCTATTCTATTCTAGTCTATTCTATTCTATTCTATTCTATTCTATTCTATTCTAGTCTAATAATCAATGAGAAAAATGTTGTTTTATTGTGGTGATTAAAGCTGACTAAAAAAAACACAAAAATACACTATATTTCCTAACATTTGCCTCTAGTAGAATTCAAATAATTTAACGTTATTTCTATAAAATAATAGGACCATGTTTACTTAATAATAAGACAAATAAAATATTAAAAGAGTCCTCCCTGCAGGACTTTGTTGGCTCCTTTTACTGTGAGGGGAAAGCTGCAGAAATGAGGAGATCCTGGGGCCTTGGACTGATCCAGCAGGACAGAACCAACACTGGATTATCATGTTCAGATGATTTATGTTTACAGAAATGACTCCCCTGGATTAAAAATCATTATGTAAGAGAAAACAGAAAGATCCGCTCTGACTCATTTATGTCCAGTTATCCAGTTTGAGTTTATTTCTTAACCCCATGTGAGGTTTAATCTGATTTATTTAAGTTAAATTCACATTTTTTTTTACTTACACCAAAAACTGATGCTTTAATATTTTTGTTGTTAGATACAAGAGATATAAAGTAATTTAACAAGACTTAATTAAGTTAGTTATTTAGTAAAGATAATTTAAATCTCATCAGGTTTGTTGTCTAAACTGACAGGTTTTTATAATCCAGCGTGCTCAGAGATTATTTTGGTGTCAGTGTGTTTCCAGGCTCACGAGGAGCTGTGATTTCCCTGCTCTTCATCCTCCTCCTCTTACCTTTTTGTGTCTGTCTTTGAAAGGTAAGGCAGGCCACGGCATCTCCTGCACAAAGTCCTGCCAGTGTTTCTGGTCCTGGTCGGACGAGACGAAGACGATCTCCAGCTTGTCCTTGTGCTCGGACGCCTTCTTGAAGCGGCCGTAGAAGTCGCTCAGGCTGCCGCTGAACTGCCTGCAGGGGCCGTTCAGGCTGCAGCCGAAGAACAGCCCGACCAGGGACAGCTCGGCGCCCAGGGACTGCACGTCCACCTCGGCTTTGGAGCCGTCGACGAGCCGCTCCCCGAGCAGACCGAGCAGAAACTCCGACATCGCGGCGCCACGGAAAGCCCTGCTTTTCCAGGTAAACCAAGCCGGAGCTTCCCTCCCTCCCTCCGTTCCCCGCGCCGCGGAGCCTCCGGTGTGAGGTTTTTACGTGAGCCTCGAGCCCGCGCGAGGCGCAGCTGTGTGTCTGTGTGTGTTTGAGTGTGTGTGTTTGAGTGTGTGTGTGTTTGAGTGTGTGTGTGTGTGTGTTCGCCTCCTCTCTGTGTAGGAATGCGCTCCGTTTAATCACCCCGACTGAAACAGCGGCTGCGCTCTTTTTTTATTATTATTATCAACAAACCGCTTATTTGATCATCGCAAACACTTTATATCTATCATAAAACACTTCCAATTTAATTTTGTATTTTATTTATGTAATAAAACCTGTAGATTAAATTAGGCGAAATAAATGTCTTCATTGTTTGTTGTTTTTTGTACCCCTCAAACACTGTTTTCGTCAAATAAATCATATTAAGTGTTAGACTCTTATAAAACGCACTATTTCTGCCACATTAAAGAAGCTGCATGATTTATTAAGTTTAATTAAATATATGAAACAGCAAATTTCTAGAAGGCTGGAATTAGACTTTTAAGGATTTGCTGCCATCTTGTGGTCATAATGAAGAAGACACTGAATTTATTTTCTGTTTTTTTCTGCATATTTTGTACTTGTTCTTGTTTATATATACTGTGTGTATATA